CAATGAATAGAAAATAGACAAGAGAGCGTACAGGCAAACTGGTTTACGGTAGATATTTTGTCCTACAGGAGATACAGCAAGCAAACTTTTGTCCCAGGTCGCTTTCCTGCAGTGCATGTTATTCTGGGGGAAGCACACTTGCGGGGGTTTCCAAAAAAAATTGGTTTGTATGAATATTTAGATAGCACAATGTTGGCCTGCCATTCAAAAGGTGGCAGAACAACATAGCGATATAAGAAAATACACTTTTTTGTAATATACTCCTCACCCTCTGTATAGTCTGCAGGGTAACATTGACAGCAAAGAATCTGTTTCTTTGGATATTTGGCACAATTGGCTTGTTCCGATGGTGTGTTTCTTGTGTGCTAGGCTAGTCCTTTGTGCTGTTGCGATAAGATATGAAGTGAGCATGTAGTTTTCCTGCTGTGAATAGCAAATGGATCATTTTAACCGAGAGTGAAGGCAAGGATTTGACTTCCGGCTTTCGAAGTGGAAGGATGTATCGGAATGAGCTCCGTCGAAGCGGCATCAACGGCTACTGATAACCACAGTTTTTCTGCTGAGCCGAGTAACGAAAGATATAAGGTAATGTTGCTCCCGCTGGCAACAGACATTCATGCCCTAAATACTATGTTTCTTCATGGCAAAATCGACGCATGGCCCTACCACATCGAAGATTTCAGGATTGGCCTGGGCAAAAGCAGGGGTCCTAGGTGACATTGCCTATGTGGCCCATTTCAAATGAGCCATGTGTGGATGGTGACACTCAAGTCTCCATCTGCCAAGCAGAAGCTGGTGGCCGCAGGAACCATCGAAGCCAAAAGAAGACGCTCAAACTTCACTGGACTGCCTTCCACCTCCCAGACGACAATGCCAGGAGGGCTCTGGAGTCATGCGGGAAAGCGACAGTGGTCACAAGAGAGACCTGGCGCTTCAGTGGCTCCGGAGGTGTCCTGTTTACCGCGAGAATTGCGAGGCTAACTTTGAAGGAGGGGGTCACAGTAGAGCAGCTGCCACACCAACTCCGGAAGCCTGGCTGCATGGCACTCATCCTGGCTCCAGGAAGGGCTCCGCCTTGCCTCAGTTATCGAAGAACTGGCCACATCAGGAGAGAGTGCAGTGTGCGCCGTTGTAACAGCTGTTGGCGCTTCCAGCACACAACAGAGGACTGTAGGAGGATGTACGCCAACGTCGCTAACGTAAGGACGGCGGACGAGACCTCAGAGCTAGTCATGGACCAGGAAGAAGCCGAAGAAGCTGCAGGTGCCCCTCCCAAGGCCCCGTCTGCATAGGAGCCTGCCCCAGATACAGCGCGTGTCACTAAACCCGCGGTCAGAGAGCAAGCACGAGGTTCACCGTCTCAAGATCAAGGGCAAGACCAAGAAAACTCGCGGCGCGGCGCGAACAGGGCCCGAACGTCAGTGGTGGGGAAGAAGCCCAGAAGGATGATAAGCAAGACATGGAGGCCATGAGTGGCACTGCAAAAAGATCACTAGAAACGGCACAAACCCAGGAGCCTGAACAGATGGACTGGCTTCAGGGAAGAATGGTCCAGAGGTTTCAGTAGATAACCAAAACGGCTCGGCACTATGCAAGCCCTGGCGGTACAGGTGGAAGTCCGGCAAGAAAGGACACGACGTGAAAGGAACCAGAAATGTGATTGCAGGGTGCCCGGACTTTGTCAGTTAGGAAAAAAACCACAAGTAAGAATGTCATACTTTGTGCTGGTGTATACACTACGTAGCGTGTTCTGGCAATGGCTTACTCTCACTGCATACCAACCTCTCTCCGTTGCTTGACTTGGCCTACTTCAATGAGATCTGAATGGCACTTAGTTTCGTTACTTTGAACGTTCAAGGGTTGTCCTCAAGAAAGAAGCAATACCAACTGCAACGTCTGTTGGCAGACAAGCAGCCGGATTCTCTTGCGGTACAAGAGACGAACATGGAAGCAGAGGATAATATCACCAGAGTGCCGAGCCCTCAACTGGAGGGATACGAGGTACACGTGAGTCATGCGGTGGACTGTTTTCTTTTTCTAAAAATGCCTAAGATATGAAAACCTGCAAGTAGTCATTGAGGAGTGCAGGCATTTCATTTTTCGCCATTTCATATTGTCAGGAGTACAGAGGAGCTTGATGTGTATCTATGCACCTAATGCTGCAAGGGACAGAGGTTAGAGCAGCTTATCAGCAATTTAAATCATCAAAAATTTGATTTCAATTACATAAATCTGATTTTTCTTTTTTAATTGTTATTCTTTTTCTATCCTGGTTCCAATAAGTCATTAACGCCGATACGCACTGAGATAAAATGTAAAAGACAGAAAAAAACAGAAAAGGCAAACACAAGTTTCATGAGCGTAGGCAGATGAGGACAGGAAACACAAACTTGCTGCAAAGTTAGGTGGGCACCAGGTACAGTACCTCAAGCTTATATGAACTGGTGCCAAAGCAAAACATTTTAAAGCTGTGATTCCAGAGCATCAACAAGGAAGCACGGTTTACTACAACCAGACATCGATCGGGGGCTCGTAGAAAGCATGTGCAGATAGAAAAAAACTCCACACAAAAGTGAGTCACAAGGTAAATAGTGAATTGGTATACCACGTCTCACCTTATGTCGTACCGCAGCGAAGGCTAGAAGCGCGAGCTCATAGCATTGGCAGCTGCCCTTACTGCACGAGAGCTTGCGCCGCCAAGTTGTGCCCTGAGCAAGGAGCACGTGTTTGTGGCCTTTCCCTGCAGTACATCATAAGGTGAAACAGAGTATAGAAAAACTATGAGCAGCACATGCACGATAAATACGAGTGTGTGACCGATTCATTCGAATGTTCGCGCACTGGAAGCACGTCTGTGATAACCGAAAGTACTCACGGCGATGGCGCCGTCCATTTTGACCAGGAGATTACGGACACAAATGAACAATTACACAATGGAGAAAGCTGTTGGACCAGATTTCCTTTGCCCCTCCGGAGAAGACGGTGTTAAAAAATAGGGTGTATGTTCCCTTTCATCATGCCATCTCACAAAATGTCGGCTCTGTGGCGTCAAAGTGTGGTGTTAACTAGTGATGGGACGAATCACCGGAGGTTCGAATTCGGAAATTTGCAAACTTCCCGTGACGAATATTCGGCAGATTCGGAGATTCGTCAGATTCGTCGCTGGTTGCAGGCGACAGCATGAACCTTGTAAACCTCACCAATGCGGTCAGTTGTGCTTTTCTTAGGTACTGTTACTGCATATAACCAGATTTTGTCTTGTTTATTTCAACATATGGTATGTACTGTACTGTTAATCTGAACCTTGGCACGCGCCCAGGTCCAGCTGAGCTGATCGGTGTGGTTGACGTAGGCCTAACCAATGCACGGTCTCGCTATCTGTGCGGTTTCGCGGTGATTGGTAAAATGTAGCGAAACGATGTGTATTATACATAATGTGGCACAACGCACAATAAATATATATTCAGGCAAGGAAATGACTCGTCTCCTTCTCTAGAGCTGCGTATGTCTGTACCTTTAAGGCGCGAGAGCGAGATGAATGTTGCTCGTCACAACTCCGATTGCGTACCGGCACCGGTGGCGAAGAAAAACGTCGCACTGCAGTTTCTCCGTTCTCGGCATCCAAGCTCGTTGCCGGCAGCAAGTTTTGTATACGTTAACTTTATTTGATGAAAAAGAGACACAACACAGGGGTGTGCAACGCAACTTCATTGTTCGGAAACAAACACTAACTAAATCGGACAGCATAGAATTAACAAGGAGTTTCAGATATTGTTTCCCGTGTTCTGATAGCAATACCTCAGTGGACACTCGTTGGAGATTATCGAATCGAACATACTCATTTGTGTGGTGTGCACCACTATGACAGTAATTATGGACACAAAATGTGTCTGTAGCGAACAGCACGTACGGCATTGTCACGATCGTGAACCGGAGGAGGAAATAGAAGAAGACGAGAAGGCGACCGAGGCGTGGTGTGGGGAAAAAGAAAGAAAAGAAGAGGTTTGGAACGAGCATCAAGAGGAACGAGACAGCACTGGTCCGGTGAACAGCACAGCGACTTCGGCTACGCTCCGGAGGAAGCCCACCCGTGGCCCGCTCCCGGGAGTCCACCGTTAACCAACGGGGCGGCTTCGGCTACGCTCCGGAGGAAGCCCCACCCGAGGCCCGCTCCCGGGAATCGACCGAGATCAACCAACGAGGCGTCCGCCGTCAGAGCAGCAAGATGATGTTCTTCCCCAAGGAAAGAGACCTGAGAGCGCACCAGAGCCGGGACACTTCAAGGTTGTGAGTGCTAGGGGTGGAGACTTGGGTCTAGGGGACTAAGACAATACTGTACCGTACGGTTTCTGATGCCTTTCGCTTTTGTTTATTTATGTAAATACATGTACATACGGTGAAATTTCGTAACCTGTTCGTCCGGGTCCTCTGATTTCGGGGTCCGTCTCGGTTGAACGTGACAAATTGGCGAGCCTGCCAGGATCCCTTTTTTTCCATCAAATTTTTGCTTGAATCACGTCGACCGGGACACCTAGGGATCTGTGAAACCGGACGCAACAGTATGGAAAACGACAGATTGATCGCGGCCGGGGAAAAGTTAGGTTATGTAGGGGAAGAATTGAAGAAATGGGTTGAGGATGAAAAGGCTAGTGCTCGAGAAGAAAGGGCAAGGGCAAGACAGGAACGGGAGTTGGAGGGAGCACTGTTGGAAAAAGAACGAGAGGTTCTACAACTTAGACTAGCGCTACAGGAAGGAGCGGCGTCGGGTCGCGAAAGGATCCGAGGCGAAGGGGAAGGTGCGCCGCCAGGACACGGACACCAATTTAGTCCTCACAAGTTGATTCCCCAATTTAATGAAGACCGAGATGATTTAGATGCGTATCTACAGCGTTTCGAACGCACCGCGACGGGTCTCGACTGGCCCCAGCAAAAGTGGGCCACGACGTTGAGTCTTTGCTTGTCCGGGGAAGCACTGACGGTAGTTGGCCGCCTGTCCCCAGCAGACGCGCTAGATTACGCGAAAGTCAAGCTTGCACTCATGCAAAGATTCAGGTACACTAAAGAAGGCTACAGGGAAAGGTTTCGCGAAGCTAAACCGGAAAACGGAGAAACGAGGAGGCAGTTCGCCGCCCGGCTTGCAGGGTATTTCGACAGGTGGATCGAGGTCGCTGGAGTGGAGCGGACATTCGAGGCCCTCCGAGACAGCGTATTAGTGGAGCAGTTCTTACTCAGTTGCTCTGGCCGGTTGTCGGTATTTCTACGTGAACGAGACTGCAAAACCTTAGATGAGGTAGCATCCAAAGCAGATCTATATCTAGAGGCCCAGTTGCAAACAGGGGCGAGCAGGCCGAAGATGGAGGACTGCACCAAGAAGTCGAGTGCTGGAGAGACAGACAAAGCGACGAGCGGTGCAAGCAGAAAAACCATCCGATGCTTCCTCTGTAATAAGGTCGGCCACAAGGCAGAAAATTGCAAGAACCGCCCGCCTACGTTCAAAAAGCTGACGTGCTGGAATTGTGGAAGACCCGGGCATCGAGCCGAGAATTGTGGGACGAGACAAAACGATCGATCTCAAGCGTCCTGCGTATTAGCTGAGCAAAGCGACGGCAGTGCGGCCGAGTTTGATGAAGCCTATGTCACGCTTCAGAACGGCGCCAAGATCCCAGTGATCAACGCGGCCGTAGGACGAGCTCCAAAGTTTCTAGTGGAAAACATGCCGGTAGTGGAGGGACGGCTAGGTGACCGCAAAATAACGGTTTTGAGGGACACCGGTTGTAATACGGTCGTTGTACGAAAGGAGATGGTTCAACCTGAGGAATTTACCGGGCAGTCCAGTCCAGTCTATCTGTTGGATAGGACCGTGAGGTATGTGCCGGAAGCGGAGATCAGGGTGAGGACACCATACTTCACCGGAAGGGTAAGGGCGAAGTGTGTTAGTAACCCGCTGTACGATCTTGTGCTCGGTAACGTGCCGATGGTGCGAGGCGTTAATGATCCGGACCCGAAGTGGAACGAAATGGAGGAGGCGAGTCCAGCTGGAAAATTGGACAGGCAGACGTCCATAAAACAAAACCAGGAGACAAGCCAAGAAAAAAGTGCAGAACGAGCTGGCAAGGGCTCTTCCGAATCATTGCCGGAGAACTCCCCAAGCTCGGGACAACGCGAGGACGAGCCCATGCTCATCGCGAACGCGACAGAGACAGGAAAGGACAAAGATCAATCCAAAGAGCCGCGAGCCGAACTGAGGGTGCCGCAGGTTTCGCCACTGGAAGCGACAGCCGAAGAGATGCTCAAGGAGCAAGAAAACGACAAGAGCCTCGAGAAATGTTTCCACAACATCGGTAAGACCTTTCCTAAGCACGGAGGAAGAACTAAGCGAAAGTTCTTTATAAAGAACAAGTTGTTGTATAGGAGTGTCATCTACAGCTCCGGAAGAAAAACGGATCAGCTGGTGCTTCCCGAGAAGTTCAGACGAACCGTGGTAGCCCTGGCCCACGATAGCATAATGTCGGGTCACCAGGGGATAAACAACACGATAGGGCTGGTCGCAGAAGAATTTTTCTGGCCCGGAATGCAGAGTGAGATACGAAGATACGTGCGATCTTGCGACGTTTGCCAGCGCACCGTGCCTAAAGGAAGAGTGGGTAAGGCACCCTTGGGGACCATGCCAACCATAGCGACGCCCTTCCAAAAAATTGCCATAGACATCATTGGCCCCATTACGCCGAAGTCGGATTCGGGAAAGAGATACATCCTGACCATGGTGGACGTAGCCACTCGCTACCCGGACGCGGTAGCTTTGCAAAGCACTGGTACCCCAGAGGTGGCGGAGGCGTTGATGGACATGTTCGCCAGATATGGCGTACCGGAAGAGATCCTCAGTGATCGAGGATCAAATTTTACATCGGACCTTATGAAGGAGGTGGGCCGACTGTTGTCAATGAGACACCTCCTAACGACCCCCTACCATCCTATGTGCAACGGCCTTGTGGAGAGGTTCAATGGCACATTAAAACAAATGCTCAGACGAATGTGCCAGGAGAGACCTAAAGACTGGGACCGGTACTTGCCCGCTCTGCTTTTTGCGTACCGAGAAGTACCCCAGTCCAGCTTAAAATTCTCTCCATTCGAACTCTTGTATGGGAGAAGAGTACGAGGACCGTTAGCCATCCTAAGAGAAGTCTGGTCCAACGAAGCAATGAAGAAAGAAACAAAGAGTTCGTATGGGTACGTTTTAGAGTTGAGGGAGAAGCTCGAAGAAACATGTGAGCTGGCCCATCGATGTCTGGAGGTAGCGAAAGAAAAATATAAGGGAAATTACGACCATAAGCGGGTCAAACGTGAAATGAAGGCTGGAGATAGGGCGCTAATACTTCTTCCAAGTGATAACAACAAGATGCTTATGCAATGGAAGGGCTTGTTTGAGGTCACGGCCCGAAAAAACGAAGTAGATTATGAGCTTGAGATTGGAGGAAGAAGCAAAATATTCCACGTGAACATGCTTAAGAAGTACGAGGAGCGGGAAGGGAGCGAACAAGTCGGCTTACGCTGTGGGGTGGCCGTAAAAGTCGACGAGGATAGCGACATCATCACCGAAGCAGGTGAGGACGAAGTTCCAATGCTCTCCCTGACAAAACAGCAAGACAAACGAGACGTGGTAGTCCATACCGATTTAAACAGAGAGAAAAGACAACAAGTGTTTGACTTGATCAGCGAATACGAAGAGATCTTTTCAGATCTACCGGGAAGGACGAACTTGATGACGTGCGACCTCCAGTTGACCACCCAAACGCCGGTACACATCAAACAGTATCCGCTACCATTGAAAGTACATAAGCTAGTGGAGGAAGAGATCACCGCGATGCTGAAGATGGGGGTTATCGAAAGATCGACGTCACCGTATAATGCTCCTATGGTAATGGTGAGAAAGCCAGACGGTTCGAACCGGTTCTGCATAGATTTCAGGCGTCTAAACCAGGTGTTGGTGTCCGATGCGGAACCCATACCAAGGCTAGACGTAACGTTTGCGAATGTGGGATGCAAAAAATTCTTCTCAAAACTTGATTTGACCAGAGGCTATTGGCAAATACCCATGGAGGAAGGGTCAAAAGCCAAGACCGCGTTTTCGTCATTAACCGGATTGTATCAATTTAAGTTCATGCCGTTCGGGCTGAAAACGGCAGCAGCCACTTTCACTAAGTTGATGCGAAAGCTGCTGGAGGGTATCCCCGACGCACATCATTACATCGACGATGTACTGGTAGCAACAGACTCGTGGAAGCAACACCTCGACACGCTGAGAGAAATATTTGACAGGTTGCGCGCCGCCGGCATTACAATAAAGCCGAAGAAGTGTGAAATTGGATTCCGACAGATAAGCTTTTTGGGGCACCGAATAGGATTGGGGCTTATCGCACCAAGGCAAGAGATCCTTACGCGGATACAAGACGCACCCAGACCAACGACGAAACGTCAGGTTAGGTCATTTTTGGGGCTGACAGGATTTTACCGAGAATTTATACCAAACTACGCGGGAGTAGCGGCTCCTTTGACAAACCTGACGAAGAAGGGAGCAAGTAACGAGGTCGAGTGGGGTGAGCAGCATGAAGCAGCCTTCACGCTCCTGAAGCAGTCGTTAGCCGAGCCACCCATTTTGCTGGCTCCGAATGTAGAGAAGGGATTCACTTTGCGCACTGATGCTTCTGACACGAGCATAGGGGCGGTATTACTGCAAGACCGAGACGGAGTATGGCATCCCGTAGCTTACGCGAGTCGTAGACTCAGCGAGGCGGAGAAGAACTTTGCGACCGTAGAAAGAGAATGCTTAGCACTGGTGTGGGCGGTGGAGAGGTTCAAGATTTATTTGTACGGCCAACATTTTCGGGTACAGACAGACCACCAGCCGCTTGAGTTCATCAACAAGGCTAAACACAACAACAGTCGCATCATGAGGTGGAGTTTGAAGCTGCAGGACTACAGCTTCCACATAGAGTACATAAAAGGAAAAGATAACGTCGGTGCCGATTACTTGAGCCGGATATAAATGTGTAATTAACAGAGGGTAGGTAATGGTAGGAAAACAGCATTTCTCAGTGTTTCAGTTAGATTAGTTTTCTTTCTTTTTGCTGAGGACGAGTCACAATGTCCCTGCAGGGTTAATTGAGTAGGGCGATCGTATATCGATGGAGTAGCTGTGTTTTGAGGTTCGTGGGGAGGCATGGAAATCTCGTGGCGCTATACACGTGCCGGTTTCTGTTGATAAACAGGGTGGGGTTAGTACAGTGCCAAGAGTGTGGTAATGTGTTGTGCATGCGGATGCTTCAACGACAGGCCGTGTGCTGTGAGTAAAACGATACCCGAAGGGTTCTGCGGCACGCGCCCTGACAGCCGAGAAAAGACACCCAGGGAAAGGACACGCAAGTGTAAACGAAGAGGAAGAAAATTCACAAGATGAATTTTTCGAACATTGGGGGCATTGTCACGATCGTGAACCGGAGGAGGAAATAGAAGAAGACGAGAAGGCGACCGAGGCGTGGTGTGGGGAAAAAGAAAGAAAAGAAGAGGTTTGGAACGAGCATCAAGAGGAACGAGACAGCACTGGTCCGGTGAACAGCACGGCGACTTCGGCTACGCTCCGGAGGAAGCCCACCCGTGGCCCGCTCCCGGGAGTCCACCGTTAACCAACGGGGCGGCTTCGGCTACGCTCCGGAGGAAGCCCCACCCGAGGCCCGCTCCCGGGAATCGACCGAGATCAACCAACGAGGCGTCCGCCGTCAGAGCGGCAAGATGATGTTCTTCCCCAAGGAAAGAGACCTGAGAGCGCACCAGAGCCGGGACACTTCAAGGTTGTGAGTGCTAGGGGTGGAGACTTGGGTCTAGGGGACTAAGACAATACTGTACCGTACGGTTTCTGATGCCTTTCGCTTTTGTTTATTTATGTAAATACATGTACATACGGTGAAATTTCGTAACCTGTTCGTCCGGGTCCTCTGATTTCGGGGTCCGTCTCGGTTGAACGTGACAGGCATCGATCTCTTACGGCAATGAAAACATGCGTTTGTATAATGTATTTCCACGTGCGTGCACCAAGCATGCCTATTTGGGTCGTAATCCGGAACCAAAACCAATTTTCCCGTGATGTCTGACTACCGTTCTCGACAAACATCCAAAATAATATAAACAAAGCGGAACTTTTTTTTTATTACTGTAATAAGATATGACAATATTATTTTGTGCACTTTATAGAATTCAGTGAATTTAATATCACTAAAAGTTGAAACACTCATCATCGTGAGCCCAACCCCAGGGGACAAACACATCCAAGCATCTTGTTTTACCGCAACACTCGTAGTGTACGGAGAAGCACACTTGCAGGTTTCTCAGCCTAGCCAACAGTCTGCCTAGCGCTTTCCTTCACCATGAGCCATGTAGGGAGAAGCCCTCCTCCCAGGAGACAAGCTAAATTTTACAAGTTGTGTGTAGTGGTGGGAAGGGAGCAAGCGGGCGACTTTCGAAAGTTCCATTACTGTGCATACAGCGTAACTGTAGACAACTTATTTTTTATGGGCACTATAGTTTGCCAAGTGTCGGCTTTCTGAATATTTCGATATGTGCATTGCATGTCCATGAGACGAATCAATCAAATCATGGATTTCACAAAAATTAGGTTGTTGGGAGAGTTATGAATTGTTCACAGTATCCGCTTTCTTGAGACTTAACTCGGCATCCAAGCAAGTTGCATGCCGTTTACCCCCAAGTTTCCGGGACCGATGGCTTCTAGCCTCGAGAACCTATAAAGGTATGCCATTGGTCACTGCAATCATCACGGCTGTAGTCGGATTTTACTGAAGGCCCAAGAGGTGTTTTCAATGGTTTCATAGACATTCAAACACCTGTTCAAGTGTCCGTAAACTCTCCTTCCATGACCATCCAGCCGTCAGCTTCCAGAAGCTGGTACAGATCGCCAGTCAAGCAATATGGTTCACTGAATGTTTAGTTAGGGTACCATGTATTCGAAATTTGTTGGTTGCATAATATCACTTCGATCTCGCACACCGGAATTCTGGTACTGGCTTGCTGATATCATTGTAATCAGAATCATTGTTTCATTTATTTGTATCGCAGGTTACTGAACCTTCACTGTCGCTGTCAAAGAACACTTCACTTTCCTTTTCCTTTTGGCAGTACATCAAACTGTGGCGTTGAGCTTCGAAATCTGGATCCCACATGGATCTTGCGTGCCAACTCCCCGCACTTGCAGCATATAACTCCTTCGACCCTTTTTCGCTTCATGAAGCATCGAATGTGTCACGATTGTACACTCCGTTTCAATTTCCGATCGTCCCTCCTGAATATATGGCTTTTAGTGCGTCGTGCGACAATGCAGAGCAAAGGTAAGAAGCACGAGCTTTATGAAAGGGCGCACCTCAGTTGCACTAACTCTCGCACAGTAGCCATACTTCGTTTCACCCGTTTCAGCTTATCTGCGAGCAAAGGAAAAGCTACAAGCGCAAGCGGGTAGTCTACAGAAACCCAGACTGCACATGCGTGCGCGCAAGTCAAGGATATACGGAGCGCTGGGCTTGCACTTGTCCCCTTCGATGCACATAAGCTAACACTAAAACTCCTGGAACCAAGCCAACCATCACGACGAAGCCTCACCGCTTCGCTTAGGCAGTGATGCACAAGTGGGCGAAGGCCCCGGAGGCCGAACCCGCACCAACCCAACCAAGCCCGCACTCCCACATGCACGGATGAATGGCACGCACGCCACTCACACATGTGCAACTCCTGGACAACATAACTATAAAGATATCTATCGATACTATTTTTATGAGGCATGATATCTGCTATTAGTGTTAGGAAACAGTGAAAAATTATCTAAAAATTTGTAACATCACGTGACGTAACTTTAAAACAATAAATTTATCTAACCTCTCCAACCAATCTAACCTTTCTAATCAGTCCAAAGCAATTTAGGTAACATTGCTGCCTGGTGCATCAAACAGTGCATGCCTCTAAATATGCTTAAATGTATTAACGCCAGATTCACTAGAAAAACTAAGTGTTTCTTTGTCCTACAGTATTGCTATCGTTTCACTTGAACAGGCGTCGGAGTTTAAATATTTGGGTCATTTCTTCGTCCGAAACATGTCGACTATATTACAGCGAAAGCAAACCGGTCACTGGGATTTATTAAACATAATGTTTGGTTGGCTCCCCAGCACACTATATTTTCTCATGTAATCTTCAACTATGCCAGTGAGATTTGGGATCCGTTCAGGCAGAACTTGGTAGATCAGGTTGAAAAGATACAGAATCATGCTGCAAGATTTCTTACGGGCAAGTATGATTTCAGATTTAGCATAATTACACTTAGTCTCTAAATTGGACACCTCCCAGTCGATGGCACAAATTTCTCCCTCTCAAACTTTTACGTAGTGTTAAACGATACCACTATTTGTAGGTTAAAGTATATTTTGAGCCTGACTATGTGTAAGGAAGTAGAGGTAATTAAAAAACAAACTTGTCCATTTCATTGGAAAACTGCTGTTTCGAAAGTTTTTTTTTTTTTTTTTTCTCAGTTTATCGACAATTGAAATGACCTGCCAAGTGACATTGTTAAAACAGTGTTGCCAGAACTGCATGTTAAGAAGGTTCAAGGATGCATCGAATTATCGTTGCGTGTTACTTATTGTTCCATTTTCTGTCTGTGCCCCCCCTACTATGATGCCTCTTTAGGTAATGCAAGTATTCAAATAAAAAAATATATACATATATAACAAATTAAAAAACCGACACATACGGACATTACACGTCACATGCTATTTTTTGCCGAATATATTGTACCCTTATGCAGGTTAAGCAGGAAAAGCTTATCAAAGCCCTACACTCTTTACTTTAGCCAGCAAATGCTAAACAGGAGGAGGAGACTACTCACCTCCTCTCCAGGGTTCACTCGCTAAAGTGGAATGTGGGGAGGGCTTTGCGAGAGCAGCTTGCCTCGATTTTCTTAACCTGCAAGAGTAGTAATGACAACTTTTTGTAATTAAACTAAAAGCACCCGCAAACCAGTTTCAGTTGCTTAACTTCTTCGTACCCAAGCACGTGCATCAGGCACACCTTTGGCAGGCTTGACATTGCGCGTGCTTGCTTGCAACAACATGCCATAAAGAATTCCACACAAATATGGGGTGCCCCAGATAATCGAGTGGAGCGCCTTTCCACACGTTCCATTCAAATCGAAGTTAACATTGGGACCCAAAGTCCTTACTTGCTGGCAGTCTACACAGGCAAAGAGAGATCAAGGGTTTACAAAGGATCATTAATCTGGAAAAGATAATTTGGACGTTGAAATATTTTAGAGGCCCGCCGCGAATGCCCAATAATGCCACGTTCACACGGGACAGGGGCTCCAGCATTGCCGATATCTCGTCATCCTGTATCGAGATGCTAAAAGCGAACCGCGCATTTATGAGAATTCCTACCAAACTTGCTAAATGAGCTAAACAGGGGTGGAACTCATGACATGTACTTGGGAGCAGCCAAGGGAGCAGCTGAAACAGCTGTTTTGGAGCAGGTTGGGAGCAGCTCAAACTACATTCTGGAGCAGTCCAGATAAGTTTTCACTGCACTTCAGCTTGTGTCTTAGACAAGCACGGAAGCAATTTCAATTGTGCTTAGCAGTACAGATGAACATGAGTGGTTAGGGATCTAGGTAGATGGGATATAACAGTGTAACAGATGAGAAAACTTCAAACTTTGTGAGCCTTAATGATAATCAAAAGGCAAGTACCATAATTTTCTGAAGATAGTATCCTTTAGACCAACACGCGGCCCCGACGTCATGCAGCTGCGGTGGCGCTGTCGGCGGCACAGCGCATGCGCAGACACTTCACTCCTCCCAAATTTGGTTTCTGCGCATGCGCAGTGCCCACACCTGGTGTGGGCAAAGGCGGGCTTGTTTGTAAACAGCGTGTCGGTCTTTATATTTTTTGAGTGGCTTTCAGCTGCTCAAAATGCAACCCAGCACTGATTATCGCA